ATCAAATATACCACTTAGTATAGACGATATCAGAGGTAGAACAAGAATAATGTTATGGCTGCATCAAATATACCACTTAGTATAGACGATATCCGAGGTAGAACAAGAATTTTTTAAATTCTTTATCTTCCTATATTATGACATTTATTTTCCATATTTTCACAGCAAGCTGTAATAGATATACAAGTCAACAAGGCTTGGACAAGGCTTGATCTATACAAACTTTGGTCTGTAACAATCTATATCTATAGATCTATTGTCTATAATGTATAGATTCTAAATTCTATGGCTAATAACGGTATGTGTCCAGGGCACAATTGTAAAACAAAACACTTTGATTAAGATACCAATATTTTATTCACATTTCTATATGCATATCTCTAATCAATCTAATCTCAAATAGCCATGTTAAAGTTCCCTACAAAAATCACAGTCTTTCCAACAACAGAATCAGAGACCACCAAGTATTTCAGAGATTACAGATTTGTTTTAACATAGCATTGCATGCCATCACTATATGCCCTTACAGTAAATTAGGCTAGGGCTAGCAATAACTTTATCATTTCTGTACTTTGAGAAAAGATTTTTAAGAAATTTCTTCTTTTAAAATAGTATATCTTACGATAAGTAATGAGACAAAAATCAGTTGTCTGATTTTTTCAATGGCAATCATGGATATATATGAGAAGAGAAATCAATCTAGATGAGTTGACGAACAAGTGAAAATAAAAATACATTTATGATCATAATAAAAAAGTACATGAAATCCAAAGTAACAACAATGAAAATCTCTCGTTAACATCTAAATCCCTCATTATCCCACCCTATCATGATTTGTCTGATTAGGAACATGATGAATTGACATTAAGAAAACGTCACTCTCGACATCGGTTACCGAGTCTGTACACAGAAGCCGAGTTTCTTTTGATTAATCGTTACAGTAACCAACACCTTCATGGTTGATCCAGTATAAAGCTATCACATGGTCTAGTTACTGCTTGTCTGAATTACCAAACTCTATTTTAATTCCTTTTAGATCATTATTTTCTCATCAATGCAACTACATTCAACTGGCATACCAAACATGCGTCCACAAGATAATGTATTCCTCTTTTACAAACTGAACACGTTTTGTTCGATAGAAAAGAAAAAAAACAGATGGCAATTTTTCAACTGAACAGAGAATAAAACACAAAATTTATCTCCATTCAAGCCTAATGTTAAAACAAGGCACAGTCTTGAAAATGTAGACTGTTAAAAAAAAAGTATATTTGTATGTGAGAAAGTTGACATGTTGCACGATGAAGATAAAAACTATGTCCGTCTACAGTGACCACACAACAATGTTAATGATGATTTCACAATGAAAACTTTGTTCCTCCTTTTCTTCCTCCTGTCTTCTCTCTAGAACGGTCCTCCCGAGTACTTTTTTACACTGCAAAACAAAACAAATCAGAATTACTGGTGTTCCGATCATAGAGTCATTCAAAAACAATGAGGGCTTTATTTAGGAACATTTATTGAGTCACTTATTGTAAAACTGAACCAAAAATTCTCAATGTAAAACTTCTTTTCTTCTTCGGTTCAATACTTTGCAGGTTTTCAACCAATTACAAACTGCATGAGTTTTACAAATTATACAAATATTATAATATTAAACATTATTGCCACAGGATCATATTTTTCATCATATTTTTTGCCAAAAGATAATGTCTACAAACATTTAAACCACACAAAAAATAGAAGCTTTACAATATACTAGAGAAGGATATGGTGGTCTGGATCAGGAGAGATGTCGATATGGTCTGACGGAGAGTGTCGGCCTGACTCTCAATGCTATCTATCTAGGGCTGGCTGGTTCTGGCCAGTCTATCATTAGGGAGAGGATGAATCGAAATGGATAAACTACAGTATAGCACTTTACTTTCACTGGGACAAAGATTCCATATCCCACAACAATACAGTGACTTACTCAAGGAGTGTAAATCTAATGTCACATCAAATAAGGTTTCAGAATATTCCAAAGTTTTTTAGTCATAAAAGTAATTGAATACAGCCTAAAAAGTTTGTAAGTTTTATACATTAACAGATGTAGAAGACTACACAGTGGAAGGGTGTACATTAGGTAGCTAATCTTGTCCTGTACCAGGGAGGTTTTATACCTTAACAGATGTAGAAGACTACACAGTGGAAGGGTGTACATTAGGTAGCTAATCTTGTCCTGTACTGTACCAGGGAGGTTTTCTTATAGTAATTTTAAAGATTAATGTCCTTTCAGGGAAATTTTGCGGACAAAACTGTTCCAATCTGAAGCTTAAACAGTATTGCACAAGACTGGCTTCTTGTTTGCGTATATAGATTTAACGAGAATGCAGTCTACTGTGGAACATTGTGGGACAGGTGTGTTAGATAAGAATGCAAGCCCTCCTACGGCTGGTGCCGACTAGAAAGCCAGTAGCTGTTAGTGGGGTAAGCTGCTAGATACACACATGGTCAGGGAAGATAGCGATTCATTGTTGGATAAATATACACAAAACAACAAAATCACTAGTCTTCCAGGCCAGACGTGTCATGTTAATAGGAAGCATTCCATCACCATCATCAGTCACCAGGCAAGGGGCAGGGGGGCATGCTCTACAGTATACATTAGTTTAGCTTATAAAGGGATATACAACGTACATATGATGTTATCTGTGCCATCGTCCCAGGATTATGTTACTCTGCTGGCTAAGTTTCCAGCTAGGTCAAATCACATATATTCTCCACTCAAATTGATTATGATGTTGAGATTGTTAAAATAATATCATAAAAATTTCTGTCAACTTCACAAGTCATACTCTATTGTATTACTCTAGCCAAGTTGTCCCAGGAAAACACTAGTTTAAATATGTATGTCAACAAAGGCAACAAACAAAAACAATGACATTTGATGACATCTATTTTTTATAATTTTAAATAGAATACAAGTTTTCGTGGAAACAAACTGTGGAGAGTACTAAAATGAGGTCTAGCTTGTGACACTGTGTTAATGTCCATGGGAGTCAAAATGACGGGGATATACAGGAGTTTAGAAGTATCAGCCAGCATTAATTCGCGAAATTAACCTTTTAAGAAATAAATTAAATAGCAGAAGGTACACTGAGGAAAAAAGGTACAAATATATAATTATCATCAGCTTGCAAGATCACCAATTTTGTATTTGCTCCAGCTGAAAATGTTAATGTTTTTATAAACATGTTAGTTGGAGATTCAGGCTGTCATAGCGCTGTGGTTAGGTGGAGCATGCCACAACTTCAGCAGTAGATGGAAAGGCAATCAAGCAAGGATGAGAGTCATTAGTCGCAAACAATGAACCATCACCAAGCAATCCTGCACCAACCATCACCAGCACGATAGGGAAATTGACATCAGGTGGACAATAAGAACATTGTTTTTAAATAGACACAAACAGAGCCATTTTAAGATTACAAATTGGCTGCTAAATACTGGTTATACAGAGAGCTATTCAATGATTACAAATCTAGGTACAAGATATACAGGACACAGACAGCTGTTTAAACATTACAAATCTAGATAAGCCAGTTCTTAACATTGACAATCTTAATTCTCAGATTGGCTGTTCAAGCATTTTTCAATGTTTAAATAATATAGATGACTATTCAGCGATGTTACTTGGACTTCTAACTTCCTGTACCGGTAAGTACGAGGATGTATTGATCAATATACTTAATAGGTTATCATATAAATCTATTTATATAAGGAAGGAGCAGTTAGGGGAGGATGAATTTGGTTTGTAGATGTTGGGGTTGGGGTTGGGGCTGGGGCCTAAGTACAAAGTGCACTGGAAATACATACTGTGTTATCATAAACGGTCAATGAAATGATGACTCCAAGCCCTTCACTCTAAAAGTAAAATTAGATGGTTTATTTCTTTTTATTAATGAAAAAAAGATAGATTAACATCATTGTTTACATCTTAAGGTGTTCAACTGCGACTAGTAAACCAACATAAAAATCTTATCTACTATTACCTAAATCACAAAAATACATCTTATTTCAATTATTATTCTAAAATGGATCATTATTGTGAAGCTGCTTTGTAACAGCTTCAGTATGGTCTGCAAATACTTGAAAAACTAAGCTTTAAGATGACTCAGCTAAATTTCACTTCACAGAACTCATACATGTGGTCATAACACAATTTAAGAAATTAATAGCAAAATGTCTTTGTGATGCAGTCAGCTGGTATGTCAAGAGCTAAGTCAATGCCACGGCAACCAGTTATTATGTCAAGAGCTAAGTCAATGCCCCGACAACCAGTCATTATCTCAAGAGGTAAGTCAATGCCACGGAAACCAGTCATTATGTCAAGAGCTAAGTCAATGCCAAGGCAACCAGTCATTATCTCAAGAGCTAAGTCAATGCCACGGCAACCAGTTATTATGTCAAGAGCTAAGTCAATGCCACGGCAACCAGCCATTATCTCAAGAGCTAAGTCAATGCCACGGAAACCAGCCATTATCTCAAGAGCCAAGTCAATGCCATTGTAAACAATAATTCTCCTGTTTTAACCTTGTTTGTCTCCAACACTCATTTTCTATCTGGTTTGTCTCCAACACTCATTTTCTATCTGGTTTGTCTCCAACACTCATTTTCTATCTGGTTTGTCTCCAACACTCATTTTCTATCTGGTTTGTCTCCAACACTCATTTTCTATCTTGTTTGCCTCTTACACTCATTTTCTATCTTGTTTGTCTCTTACACTCATTTTCTTATGAATGCATTTATAAGTAGAAAACCACACTTAGTACCATCATGCTAAAAAATCAAGTTGTTCAACATCACAGGTCTATCATTACCATGTTCAAAATCCAGAACCTATACTTGGCAATGGTGATAAGTTGTAATGAGACTACAACACTCCTGGACAGAAAACTTCCGTTGTCCATAAATCTAAACATTTCTCCCAATGCCTTCCAACCACCCCTAAAACCGTAACAAATTGAACTTCCTCAGAATGCCTTCCAACCCCCCCTAAAACCGTAACAAATTGATCTTCCTCAGAATGCCTTCCAACCACCCTTAAAACCGTAACAAATTGACCTTCCTCAGAATGCCTTCCAACCACCCCTAAAACAGTAACAAATTGAACTTCCTCAGAATGCCTTCCAACCATCCCTAAAACCGTAACAAATTGAATTTCCTCCGAATGCCTTCCAACCACCCCTAAAACCGTAACAAATTGAACTTCCTCCGAATGCCTTCCACCACCCTTAAAACCGTAACAAATTAAACTTCCTCAGAATGCCTTCCAACCACCCCTAAAACCGTAACAAATTGAATTTCCTCAGAATGCCTTCCAACCACCCCTAAAACTGTAACAAATTGAACTTCCTCAGAATGCCTTCCAACCACCCCTAAAACTGTAACAAATTGAACTTCCTCAGAATGCCTTCCACCATACCTAAAACCGTAACAAATTGAACTTCCTCAGAATGCCTTCCACCATACCTAAATGGAGCTACCATATCAAATTGAGCCCTGCACCATCTCCAAAACCAAAACCCTACTAAACTGATACCCCGGGATAAGCCCTGCACCATCTCCAAACCCAAAACCCTACTAAACTTATCCCCCGGGATAAGCCCTGCAACATCTCTAAAACCAAAACCTTACTAAACTTATACCCCGGGATAAGCCCTGCACCATCTCTAAAACCAAAACCTAACTAAACTTATACCCCAGGATGAGCCCTGCACCATCTCCAAAACCAAAACCCTACTAAACTAATACCCCAGGATGAGCCCTGCACCATCTCCAAAACCGAAACCCTACTAAACTTATATCCCAGGATCGATAAAGCAAACATCCCTGAAAAAAGCAGCCCTCCAACAGGCATAAAACCAAAATTTATCATCAAATGTATCTCTCCTTATCCCTTAAATCGAGCACTTGTGATTGAGCCTTCCACCATCAGTAAAACAAAAATTATTTACAGATTTACCCCAACATTCCTAAAATCAAGTATCTGTGACAGTCCCCCATTTCTTAAATCAAACATTCCCCAATCTGTCCTCTTCAACATGTATTTTCAATTTTCTAAACTCGGTTACTGCACTTCTTTCTTAATCAATTAAACACACACACACACACACACACACCACCCCCTCCTCCTCCTTCAGAGCACCCACACTATCTGCCATACATCCTCCCCATCAACTACTCACGACTGCACGTCTAGCTGTGAGTACTACTCGTCTCTAGTAACCCCCTATTTCTATGAGTCACCGTCGGGTTACCCACCTCATCTGTAGGAGGTACTGTGCGTTCTGTATCTGATCACTGTTTCCTGTGATCGTGATGATGCGGTCGCTGGAGCCTGGCAGAGCTTCGTCTATCACTACCTGGGCATTAGACTGACGCCTGATCTCCTGGATACGCTGCCCTCCCTTCCCGATGATAGCTCCTGCCAACTGTACAACAATCAGGTATTAACTAACATGAATTTGTTAATGATATCATCGATATAAAGGCATTGAATTACTTTCTGATGATCAATTGTCTTAATATGTGTACTGCCTATATTGCCAATCCCACTTTTTGTGGCTGCGAGATGTACATCCTCCTGTCAGTGAGGGTGTTTTATCATTATATCACACCTACACTTTCCTCAACATTTAAATGAGATAATGCACCTGTTATTGTTTATTTCACATACTCAACTACTTGTGAATCAATCATTTGGAGATCACTTGTGAAACAGAAAGTATTTATGTAAATTAAGTTGTCGACAATTCTGCCACCACCGACATATTTCCAGGTTCACATCCAATCTATCACTTTTCATTTGAAAGATTATTACTGGGAAATGCACACATTGTTTTTCGGCCGAATTGATATCTCCGTCCTGATGTCCTTATCTCATGACTTATTCACAAATTTTCACAAATCTTAAGTTATTCCACCACTGAGTTGTCTCAGAAAAAACTCCATAGACACTAATTTAGATGAGAATTGAAACATCCATGTTCTTAAAACAACTCATTAAAAGTTGTTGAAACATTATTTCATCCGAAACGTACATCTCTTATATTTCTCCTTAAGGTTTCTTCAAATGCAATTTTACCAGATCTTGAGTAGTAAATGGATATGGCTTGCTTTATTTATGTTGGAGTAAACAGGACAGTTATTTTCTGCAACTTACATCTTTTGGGATAGTAACTTGGGTCGAAGACGAGTTGTTTTCACCAAACATCTGGCCCATACCTCCCTACAATAAATACAAGACACGATGAAAATGGCATTGAGGTTAATAACTTTAATTCCATTAACTGCCATTTGAAGAGCCTGTAACTGCCATGGATAATATGCATTTATAGTCAAATGAATCGACACTAGATTAATATGGTGAACATTATTGCAATATTCAGTGCTAAATATTATGCTAGTTGTTACCACTGACAGTGTTTTTTTTAATTTCATTGTTACCCTTTGTTACTGATTGTGTTCTAGTAATTTCATTGTTACCCTTTGTTACTGATTGTGTTCTAGTAATTTCATTGTTACCCTTTGTTACTGATTGTGTTCTAGTAATTTCATTGTTACCCTTTGTTACTGATTGTGTTCTAGTAATTTCATTGTTACCCTTTGTTACTGATTGTGTTCTAGTAATTTCATTGTTACCCTTTGTTACTGATTGTGTTCTAGTAATTTCATTGTTACCCTTTGTTACTGATTGTGTTCTAGTAATTTCATTGTTACCCTTTGTTACTGATTGTGTTCTAGTAATTTCATTGTTACCCTTTGTTACTGATTGTGTTCTAGTAATTTCATTGTTACCCTTTGTTACTGATTGTGTTCTAGTAATTTCATTGTTACCCTTTGTTACTGATGGTGTTAGATATTTTTGTAACCCCATGGTAACACAATGACTGAGACTTCCCACTGACCGTGTTATCCTGCGTGAAGTTACAGCCGTGACCACCACTGGTGTTACCACCTCCGTAACTACCACCACCAGAGTTGTCGTAACCCTCGTCATAACTGTTGTCTCCTCCGTAGTTGTCATCACCGTACCCGCCATCTCCTCCATATCCTTGGAAGAAAGACAGACAGTTAGTACAACCCAGCTATTACATTTCTTTACAAGTTGAACAGAAAATAATTAACAATGAGAAACATCTGACCCTGTTTAAAATGGTTGTCATGTTAAAATAAAATCAGGAAATAATATTTCTTTTGAAAACTATTAACTTATTCTGACAATTATATGTTTTACTCGATCAATTATATATTTCACTCTATCAATTATATGTTTTATTTTATCAAAAAATAACACAAATGTCACACAGGTGACCACTGTAATTTGTAACATTTTCACCCCATCATTTTCAACCACTGGTGTTTTAAAACAAATCTGTCTTGTGTTTACTTTCTGTATGTGCCGATATTACCTTGTGTTGAATGCCCGTGTTTTCTTACTGACACTGCATTTTTTGTTTTACACCCTTAGTGAATTAATGGTCAAAAAGGTTGAAAAGGAATAAGATAGGGGTGAAAATGTCCCTTTCACAGTGTTTGGTTTGATTAAAGGGACACACTCTGTGATGTCAAAACAGACATACATATACTACTTATGCCAGATAAGATTCAAAGATCATTTTCATTTGATTAAATTATCAAACTATAATTTAAGTCTAAAATGTGTCCCTTTAAAACAAATTAAAGAGGTTAGTTTGGAATCAAAGGAAGTCAATGACCGACATTATTGGGATCACATACTGCAGAATGCAAGAATTTGAAGATATGTAAATTTGTTTTACAATTTTTTTCTTCATCTGTTATATTTTGTTCTTCTCTTTTTTTTATAGTATCGTTTTATTTTTCATTTTTTTTTTTACCAGATGAAACTTTATAAACCCAAAATATCATATAATCAAAACTTGAAAAGCATTTGAATATTTGGAGTGGAGCATTAATATACGGAAGCTTTGCCCCTTTCTGTCCGTCATGTGTGTCCTCACTCTGATTGGTTGAGTAGTCTGTTCCCTGCTTGTTACCTCCCATGCCACCACCACCCATGGTGCTCTGGCTTATATTGTTGCCACCCATGCCACCGCTGCTGCCGCCGCCGCTGCCTCCTCCCATTCCACCACTTCCCATTCCACCTCTGTAAAACACAATGCAAATCATAAAGTTATGTTTGGTAATGTTACTGACTATACTATATTGAGTTCTGCTTGTTAACTCCAATGACTATACTATATTGAGTTCTGCTTGTTAACTCCAATGACTATACTATATTGAGTTCTGCTTGTTAACTCCAATGACTATACTATATTGAGTTCTGCTTGTTAACTCCAATGACTATACTATATTGAGTTCTGCTTGTTAACTCCAATGACTATACTATATTGAGTTCTGCTTGTTAACTCCAATGACTATACTATATTGAGTTCTGCTTGTTAACTCCAATGACTATACTATATTGAGTTCTGCTTGTTAACTCCAATGACTATACTATATTGAGTTCTGCTTGTTAACTCCAATGACTATACTATATTGAGTTCTGCTTGTTAACTCCAATGACTATACTATATTGAATTGTGCTTTTTTACAATCAAATGTGTTCTATTTTAACCTAAAATATTCGGACTGACTGTTCAAACTTTCTTCAAATGGTTTTACAAAATTTCATTTCGGAATCAAAATCTTTAAAATTGAATTGGTAAAAAGACCCAAGCCTTACCCGAATCCTCCTCCGCGGCCACCTCCTCTGTTAGGTCCTCCCATACCGCCACCTCTCATTCCTCCCATGCTGCCACGCATGCCACCCATCCCTCCTCTGCCGCCACGGCCACCCATCATACCGCCGCCGCCACGACTGCCACGACCTCCCATGCCCATATCTCCCATTCCCATTCCCATGCCAGGCCTGAATAAAACAAATATCGATATGAACTGAGATATCTTTACTCTTTTTTAAGTACTGTATATTTACATTACAATGCTTATTGGTGAGAAGAGATAAAATTACCGATATAACAACCCAATACATTTTTTCAACCATCTCTGAATAAAGGGAAATAAAACTGCTCTTGTTCCTTTCACAAATACAATTCTTCACAAGTAAGTTGTAGGGCAGAAACAAACGGTGGACACAAGTCAAACTTACTGAAACCTAAAATGACAGACGCTTTAAAGCCATCAGATAAAGCATGACATAGAATGCACAATGCTTTGTTGATATACACACATCAATCATTTGATATGGATGAAGATTAACAAAAGTTCTATTAACCATGTAAAACCTCTTACCGACCACCTCTCATGCCCATTCCCATGCCCATGCCTCTGGAAGCTTGTGGCGCCCCCCTGGGTCCTCCCTTGCCTCTGCCACCCTCTGCTGAAGTGTAACCTCCATACTCTGCCACCACAAACTCTTCCCAGTACATAGGATCGTACGGCTGGTTAGGTCCCTTGGGGGGAGCCTGTAAAACGAAAATGACTTTACATTATGAGCATTTCTCCATATTTAGTCTTTTATTTCATGTGTAATTCTTAAATGTTATCTGTTGTACTTTCTTACATTGACTTCAGGATTTTTTAAATCATGTCACGATGACAGTACACGAAGGCCAGTATAATAATTGAATGAGCTCTACCTGGTTATGTTTTCAGTTCATCAATAGGATCTCAGACTTAAGGATAGGTTAAGACTTACGGTTTTAAGGAGCTGATGGATAGTGTCAACACAGTTGATGACCACTTTGGGTTTACCTCCGATGGCCACCACACGTTCTGTCGACTGTGGGCAACATTGGGAGTAGACTTTGATCTGAGCTCCAGTTTTCTAAAAATTTAAAGAAAACAACAAAAATGGTTTGAGGTTTGACAACTTTATTTTGTAATAATAATATGCTATCCCATCTTATATTTGGCAAATGGGGGCGACAAATGTTCGAGTACCCCCCCAGATGAATATACATGTAAACTAGGCTGGAGGTGGTCATGACTGTGGCAGTAGGGCGGATACCTAGTGGAGAAAGTAGGGCTGTTACCTACTTGAAGTTTCATGACCATGGCAGAGCCCGAGACCAGAGGAAACTGAAGTTGCAGGGAGGAGAGATGATTGGAGAGAGTGCTGCCAACCCGACTGTTAACCAGTCTTTACTTATGGCAGACACGTATGACAACAGTATAACAACATCCAAACAACCTTTATTCTAGCTCAAATAGTCACAATTTCACATCATATTAACCAATTTAACCAATACATCTACAATATTTTCCAAATCTACATATTTAGGAATAAATTATTTATTCAGAATAATATAATTATAGGATTTATACTTCATGCCAAGTTTCCCCACGGAGATGGGATTGAAATTTTGAGAAATTTTCCCACAAAACATTAAGAATTCCTCATTATGATATAAATCTTTCCGTGATTTTAGAGCAGACTGCTGTTCCTGACAAGTGACCTTTATGAATTATGGATGATGTCTGTACCTCGCCCAAGGCATGCTGGATCCCCAGGAGCACTGGTGTCAATATGATAGACGGGAATCAATGGAATGAGTACAGGGAGTGATACATCTGAACCAATATTTTCCTAATGGTTAAAATAATCCATCAGGTCAATGGGGTCATACCTGTCATCATCCCACACGATAACAACGAATGACATTCAATGGGGTCATACCTGTCATCTTCCCACACAATAACAACGAATGACATTCAATGGGGTCATACCTGCCATCGTCCCACACAATAACAACGAATGACATTCAATGGGGTCATCCCTGTCATCGTCCCACACGATAACAACGAATGACATTCAAACTTAATTCTTCAGGCTATACAATACTGCATCAGCGTTCAGAGTTCAAATAAATGATCCTTCCCATCCTAAACGATTCCCAGTCTTACAGTAATAATGACAGATTTACACAAGATTAGCGAGCGATTCCCACTGTCTTACAGTAATAATTACAGATTTAGACAAGATTAGCGAGCGATTCCCACTGTCTTACAGTAATAATTACAGATTTACACCAGATTAAGGTTTGGGAGACAGTAAAGATACAGGGTTGGGAGACAGTAAAGACACAGGTTTGGGGGACAGTAAAGACACAGGTTTGGGGGACAGTAAAGATACAGGTTTGGGGGACAGTAAAGACACAGGTTTGGGGGACAGTAAAGATACAGGTTTGGGGGACAGTAAAGACACAGGTTTGGGAGAAAGTAAAGATACAGGTTTGGGAGACAGCAAAGACACAGGTTTGGGAGACAGCAAAGATACAGGTTTGGGAGACAGCAAAGACACAGGTTTGGGAGACAGCAAAGACACAGGTTTGGGAGACAGTAAAGGCACAGGTTTGGGAGACAGTAAAGGCACAGGTTTGGGAGACAGTAAAGGTACAGGTTTGGGAGACAGTAAAGGCACAGGTTTGGGAGACAGTAAAGATACAGGTTTGGGGGACAGTAAAGATACAGGTTTGGGGGACAGTAAAGATACAGGTTTGGGGGACAGTAAAGACACAGGTTTGGGGGACAGTAAAGATACAGGTTTGGGAGTCAGTAAAGACACAGGGTTGGGAGACAGTAAAGACACAGGTTTGGGAGAAAGTAAAGATACAGGTTTGGGAGACAGGAAAGATACAGGTTTGGGAGACAGGAAAGATACAGGTTTGGGAGACAGGAAAGATACAGGTTTGGGAGACAGTAAAGAAACAGGTTTGGGAGACAGTAAAGATACAGGTTGGGGAGACAGTAAAGATACAGGTTTGGGGGACAGTAAAGACACAGGTTTGGGGGACAGTAAAGATACAGGTTTGGGGGACAGTAAAGACACAGGTTTGGGAGAAAGTAAAGATACAGGTTTGGGAGACAGCAAAGATACAGGTTTGGGAGACAGCAAAGACACAGGTTTGGGAGACAGTAAAGGTACAGGTTTGGGAGACAGTAAAGATACAGGTTTGGGTGAGAGATGTGGAGGAGGACAACATTAATCTATTGTAATCTTCTCTTTGAGTTATAATGGCAATGACATTCTGTATTAACAGCGAGTCCATCTTACACTGTGCATACTCTTTTAATTAAAGGGAAAAGGCTCATCTATCTTCACATTTACAAATCATTTCACTTATATATTTGGCAGTATGCTGATGATACAATGGTCAGTAACAGCAATCATGTATGTATTGTATTTACGTTTGTGGAAAAATTGGCAAAAATGATAAGAGCTGCAAGTTTCATGTTATACAGTATCGGGGGAATGGAGAATGTGTTTCCGGGAATGGTACTGACCTCTCTGAGTTCCTTGATCTTGAATCCAGCACGTCCAATGATACATCCAGCCTGACTCTGGTGGACCAGCAGCCTCATCTCGCAGTCAAAGTTTTCATCTTTGTAGTTTTTGTACTACAACAACAAACACCACCATGTACAACCATCCTTCAAGTAATTTGTGACTTCAGTCAATTTTTATAAATAGTAATAAACTTTTCAATATCTGACTTAAAAGTATGTAATAAAATTTCTAAGTTTTACACGAATTAAAAGTAAAGCAAATCTTCCAACTATTTTCTTTTATTACACTGCAGGCTTGGTAATCTTGCACATTTCAAAACATCACATTCCTGTGGAAAACAAATATATAATGAATGTTTAAAAATCTATTTCAGATTTAAAGACAAATACATTTATATTATCAAAATATTGTTTTCACATTATAATTGGTTAAGATAAACATAAGAATGTTGCTACCCCTGTGCTTTTTGTAATGTTATACTGTCCCCTAATTATCTTACACACGCTCCAGATGTGACAAGTCATGTGTCTGGTGTAAGTCTGCTCCAGTTCAGTACATTACTATGACATGTTCTCGACCAAGAACACGATCTTTAATCGGTGACTTCAGCGAGGCTACTACTTGTGTATGTAGTTTAACGATATGCAAGATATCAGAACTGGCTGTATTAAACATTTTTATCATCTAGAATAAATATGAATTTAAACATCAAATATTTTGTATTAGAATAAGAAGGAAGTTGTTAGTAGTGAACATTCGAAGGAGGTGTCAAGCAAATGAGGACAGAACATGGAAAAAGGAACAATACCGAAGTAATTAAAATACTGAAGTCTACATTGGCTATCATTTTGCGTTAACTTATCGTTGTTGATAAATATGCACTTATTTCTAGACCAGCTTGACTGCTCAAATAAATCGTTGTCTGATGAATTTTAACTAAGTTGATTTGGGTTAACAAAGCAGAACAAAATCAGAGAGTGAATCTTAGAAATTCTCCCGATAGGTTGACTTTGAACAGCAAAATCTTGACAGGAAATAGAGAGGAGAAAGGACAGAAAAATAAAACACGCAAAAATTAAAAACGAGTACTGGTACCTCATCACTTACATCTTCTAGCTTCGGGATGATATCGAGGGCACAATCGAGGGCGGTACCGATGTCTGCCCCGATCGTCAGCACACTGTAAAAGATAACACTGATGTCAAGGATGTGTCTGTACGCTACCAGTCAGACGACACTGAACAAAGCAGAAATCAAAAATACCTTAAGAAAAACTTCTTCGTTAAGTGCTGAATCAAGTAATAGTGCTAAGCAAGACAGAAAAAAACAGAAAATGGAAAACAAAACAAACAAGTCTCATTTCTAACAAAGTCTTTCTTGTTCAGTTATTTTGAACATTGCTTTGACATGCATTAAAAATAATTAACAAGATTGATTTTTTTTTTAAATCACTTCAAACCTTAACAAAGGAAAAACACTTTACAATCATACTTTATCTGAAAGCATTGAAATAGAATTATCATAAATTTCAACTTCATTTTCTGTAAAATATATTTACCATACAATAAAAGAGAAGAATATTAGCATACAACTCTAGTTCCAAGCAAGAATTAACAGTTGCAGAAGCAAACGCGGTGAATACCTAAACATTAGCGTGAGCAAAACACTGAACTTTGACAGGTCAACCCCTGACAGGTCAAAGTTCACCTCATTAAATCCCTGCATACTTGAAGCATTTTCTTTTTCGGTTTTTGTAAATTAATCATGACAAGGTTATTTCCAAAATGTTAGTAAGCTTCTACACTTGAGGTGTAAAAAAAAACTCCTCAGGTTGGTCATTTTCTGTCTACCATGGTAGTAACAAATTAATTTATTGTGTTAAGAGTAAAAGAAACCAACAACATGTACGCCAAAAACTGGAGAAATGTAGTCAAGACTACCCGTTATGATTCTATGGGTATGTCACAAACAAGTGCATGTATCTACTACCCCCACGGACAAGCTACCATTATACAGAGTGCATGTATCTACTTCCCCCACGGACAAGCTACCATTACACAAAGTGCATGTATCTACTACCCCCACGGACAAGCCACCATTATACAGAGTGCATGTATCTATTACCCCCACAGACAAGCTACCATTATACAGAGTGCCTGTATCTACTACCCCCACGAACAAGCTACCACTATACAGAGTGCATGTATCTATTCCCCCCACGGACAAGCTACCATTACACAAAGTGCATGTATCTACTACCCCCACGGACAAGCTACCACTATACAGAGTGCATGTATCTACTACCCCCACGAACAAGCTACCACTATACAGAGTGCATGTATCTACTACCTCCACGGACAAGCTACCATTACACAGAGTGTATGTATCTACTACCCCCACGGACAAGCTACCATTACACAAAGTGCATGTATCTACTACCCCCACGGACAAGCTCCCATTATACAGAGTGCATGTATCTACTACCCCCACGGACAAGCTACCATTCTACAGAGTGCATGTATCTACTAACCCAATGGACAAGCTACCATTATACAGAGTGCATGTATCTGCTACCCCAATGGACAAGCTACCATTATACAGAGTGCATGTATCTACTACCCCCACGGGCAAGCTACCATTATACAGAGTGCATGTATCTAATACCCCCACGGACAAGCTACCATTATACAGAGTGCATGTATCTACTACCCACACGGACAAGCTACCATTATACAGAGTGCATGTATCTAATACCCCCACGGACAAGCTACCATTATACAGAGTGCATGTATCTACTACCCCCACGGACAAGCTACCATTACACAGAGTGAATGTATCTACTACCCCCACGGACAAGCTACCATTACACAGAGTGCATGTATCTACTACCCCCACGGGCAAGCTACCATTATACAGAGTGCATGTGTCTACTACCCCCACGGACAAGCTACGATTATACAGAGTGCATGTATCTACTCCCCCCACGGACAAGCTACCATTACACAGAGTGCATGTATCTACTACCCCCACGAACAAGCTACCACTATACAGAGTGCATGTATCTATTACCCCCACGGACAAGCTACCATTATACAGAAGAATGTGCGTGAGGGATTGTGCATCACAATTTCTTTTCTAATTTTTCTTCCAATTCACAAATTATATTCCAGGTTTCACCTCTGATAAAGTAATTTTTAATAAACATTTATTTCAGAAATCGTTTCTAGAAAATGGTCCTGGCTTTAATATTGTTTTTTTTTTTAAATTCTACAAATGATATGCAAAGGTCAAGGATTTCTTTACTGTTGTTGAAATGATTATCTTTGAAGACATTGTCAGAAATGTGAGAAAGCTTAAGGTTTGATGCATAATGATTTTGGGATTGATGGGCCTGGCTTAGACTGGTCACACATCCCTTGGTTTGTGTATCAGGTTACTTCTGGACACCAATACACTTTCTTAGCTCAAGTAAAACCCCACAACGGGAGCGGGAATGATAATCAAACCAAACCAACTTTCTTCCCTTGTTTTAGATAAATACGTACCTATTTTTTCTTTTTTTTTGTGTTTTTGTTAAAGTGAACATTTTGTTCCCAATTTTGTCCTTGCAGGACTTTTCATTCATTTTTCTTCATAAGTGAAACCAGATAGAAAGTATTACAAATACATTTTCCCTATAAGAAGTAAAATTGAAACCAAAGCATGCTCCCAGATTTGATTGGAATATAAGAAGGCAGAATGAATTAAATGAGAGGATATCCACATGAACATGGGCTATAAAAAAGTCCTTTTATGAAAGGTAGATAGTTATTTTATTTACTACTTATTTTTTGACTGCTCATGACACGAAAACTGAAACTGATTAAATAAGAGTTGTTGCGTCATACCGTTCGGGGCTGGTACTATCGGGAACTGTGACACTGGCTTTGTACTGTCAGGGCGGTGGACGATGGACACGGGATCAGACCAGACCAGTGTACAATCAGCAATCGAACGTTCCGTGGGCCAGGACAGTTGGACGGAGGTGAACATTTCCATGTTTCGTTCACAGGGCAGGGGATCGGTTGGATAGACGTCAAGTGTGGATGTTGGATGGACATACGTACATTGGACGATGTAATTGTACGTGTAGTAGCGGGCAGGGCGAGATTTGTGGGACAGGCCAGATATGTGAGGATGGAAAAAGGAGAAATCGCAGCATGGCTTTATAATATGGACAAAATTATATACAAAACAGTGTATAATAATGGGAATCGTCGGAACACATTACTTGGTACAAAGGACACCAGGGACGGCATCCGGCTAACTCTACTTGTAAAAACACAAGATTGGCTGTGAAATTAGCATATCTTTAACATATATAATCTTCAACAAAACTGGGAGGAACAAACGATTCTGTAGAATACAAAGAAATCATGTTTAAAATGAAGACATGAAGTCATAATTGATTCAACGTCACATATTTGTGTTTAAATGGCATGGCCAAATCATGGTTTCTCCACTAGCTTGGATCAATAATGGCCAGAAGGACCATTCCTAAATGAATCAATGAATAATGCCCGAGGGGGGCTTATACCCGCGTCTAACATTGCAAAGACTCAATAAGGCTTAACATGACAAAATAATACAATGGAATATCATTATCATAGAACCTGAACAAGGCTAGGAAACAGAGGCCATAGGGCTTAAAATCAGGTATTTCTCTACCTAACATAAACAATAAGGCTAGGAAACAGAGGCCATAGGGCTTAAAATCAGGATCATGTATTTCTCTACCTAACACAAAACAACATGGTAAAAATATGTAGCAATATAAATCAGTGTACAACACCCTGACAGATCGGACATCTTCAATGTAAACCCACAAGTCCCAACAGTGCTGGGCAAAATGGCAGTCCCTACTTGGTCCCAAAGGGCTTTCTAGGCCCCTTATAAGGAATTGGATCCATCAGCCATGGACATCAGGAGGAGTGAGGGGTCGGTCTTGGGATCATGTCCCATCAAAAATAGGGACCCTGTCTTGGACCAGACAACTGTAGTATGGACATTGGACCAATGTATGGTTGGGGGCCCAGACCAGGGACCAGAAGTAGGATGTATTGGGATCAGTAGCGACCCCTACACCTGAAAAGGAATGGCGTGGATTAGGGGCAGGAGTTCCAGAGATCTATTTCTAATACTTACATCTTGTCTCAGCCGCTTGATGTTACTCCCGCCTTTCCCAATAATCGCTCCAGCATTCTGTTGAGGAAACAACATTTAGCATCACAACCGAAACCTGTGATTTAATTAGGCCAAACAACAAAGCTGCTGTTTCCACTTTCTGCCCTGGAAATTTCAGGGTACAGTGTTTCTTATCCCTATAGCCGACCGACAATTTGTCTGTAGCTATCTGTTAACCAAAATATTCCAATTTTTAGTTTCATTAAAAATCCCTTAAAGTATTGGGAGTTAAAAATTTAACTTGAAACACTGACAATCATTGCTAAGTAGAGGGGCAAACCTTTTATTTTTCAAAATAATTTACTTAGGTTATACAGACAGAGCAAATCAGACTTGAACTCTGCTTGTTCTCTAGTGCTCAGGGTGGTGAAGGGGTATATTGACTTAAAATAAAAACTATATGGCCATTTCCTCATTACAGCCAAACCTAATCAATATCATTAAACTGCTACTAACGGGTTTTACAATATGCCCAGTTCTGAACTTATATGCAAAAATATTAATTAGCTAAAATTGTTTTTAAAAAGTTTGACTCTGTTGGTATCAAGTATGCTCTCTCAATGTCTGGTTATCTGTACGGAAATCCTCAAATTAATTACACATGCTGGCCGGAAGTAGGACACAACATTATACAGGCATGACTAACTCGTAATAGATTTTCAATATCATGTGACAATTGGGTGAATGGTTGCTATGGTGCCAATGATACTATGACACATCGCCTCTATGATCTATAAATCAGGCGGCCATATTGTATTGTTTACCTATCCAATCTACACGATTACAATGCCACTGCCTGTAAAGTTATCTATCCAAAACGAAATCTACACCTTAAATAATGTATGAAAACTCAATGACGGATCAGATTGACGTCATCATACCTTAATTAAATATCCTCTCATTATCATGTCTAATTTGTATTGTCTTTTCTATCAGCCTTTATTGACACTTTCAATGAAAAGACAAGATTAAGGCCAAACAAAACAATTATTCTTTCAAGTTTGTCCGTCATAAAATTAAGGAAGTAGGTGAGTTAGCAATTTTGTTACATCCAAAAGGTTAACCATTGCCAATGATTGCTAATAATTAGCTAAAATCATTAGAGGGTAGGTAGGGTGGGTATAATAAGCTAAAACTATTAGAGGGTAGGTAGGGTGGGTATAATTAGCTATAACCATTAGAGGGTAGGTAGGGTGGGTATAATAAGCTAAAACCATTAGAGGGTAGGTAGGGTGGGTATAATTAGCTAAAACCATTTGAGGGTAGGTAGGTTGGGTATAATTAGAATTACAAAGAAAATATTGGAAAATGGGCCAAAGAACAGGCCCTGAATGAAGAGATATCATTGATGTGAGCTGATTTCAATAGCCACAAATACAGCAAAAATAAATCTTATGAACAGTTGTCTATACAGTATATTCCATCTCGCAAACAGTTTCAGATTTTTTTTTATATTTGGTATTGCATAAAATAAATAAACCCTATCATTGTAAAAAATAAATTTATTTACAATTTGATTCAGTATAAATGTATGCAGTATATATATGCCATGCCCTACCTTGCTGGCCAGCAGGAAGCGGAGTTCGATCTTCTGCCCCTCCCCGCCACGCCTCCTCTTGTTGTCATAGTCCTCTTGGTAGTCATCCTCATGGGGACGCTTCATATTACCTACAAACACAACAAAGACCACTGTACGATTCTCTACTGGACGCTTCATATTACCTAGACACAACAAAGACCACTGTACGATTCTATACTGGACGCTTCATATTACCTACAAACACAACAAAGACCACTGTACGATTCTCTACGGGACGCTTCATATTACCTACAAACACAACAAAGACCACTGTACGATTCTCTACGGGACGCTTCATATTACCTACAAACACAACAAAGACCACTGTACGATTCTCTACGGGACGCTTCATATTACCTACAAACACAACAAAGACCACTGTACGATTCTCTACGGGACGCTTCATATTACCTACAAACACAACAAAGACCACTGTACGATTCTCTACGGGACGCTTCATATTACCTACAAACACAACAAAGACCACTGTACGATTCTCTACGGGACGCTTCATATTACCTACAAACACAACAAAGACCACTGTACGATTCTCTACGGGACGCTTCATATTACCTACAAACACAACAAAGACCACTGTACGATTCTCTACGGGACGCTTCATATTACCTACAAACACAACAAAGACCACTGTACGATTCTCTACGGGACGCTTCATATTACCTACAAACACAACAAAGACCACTGTACGATTCTCTACGGGACGCTTCATATTACCTACAAACACAACAAAGACCACTGTACGATTCTCTACGGGACGCTTCATATTACCTACAAACACAACAAAGACCACTGTACGATTCTCTACGGGACGCTTCATATTACCTACAAACACAACAAAGACCACTGTACGATTCTCTACGGGACGCTTCATATTACCTACAAACACAACAAAGACCACTGTACGATTCTCTACGGGACGCTTCATATTACCTACAAACACAACAAAGACCACTGTACGATTCTCTACGGGACGCTTCATATTACCTACAAACACAACAAAGACCACTGTACGATTCTCTACGGGACGCTTCATATTACCTACAAACACAACAAAGACCACTGTACGATTCTCTACGGGACGCTTCATATTACCTACAAACACAACAAAGACCACTGTACGATTCTCTACGGGACGCTTCATATTACCTACAAACACAACAAAGACCACTGTACGATTCTCTACGGGACGCTTCATATTACCTACAAACACAACAAAGACCACTGTACGATTCTCTACGGGACGCTTCATATTACCTACAAACACAACAAAGACCACTGTACGATTCTCTACGGGACGCTTCATATTACCTACAAACACAACAAAGACCACTGTACGATTCTCTACGGGACGCTTCATATTACCTACAAACACAACAAAGACCACTGTACGATTCTCTACGGGACGCTTCATATTACCTACAAACACAACAAAGACCACTGTACGATTCTCTACGGGACGCTTCATATCACCTACAAACACAACAAAGACCACTGTACGATTCTCTACGGGACGCTTCATATCACCTACAAACACAACAAAGACCACTGTACGATTCTCTACGGGACGCTTCATATAACCTACAAACACAACAAAGACCACTGTACGATTCTCTACGGGACGCTTTATATTACCTACAAACACAACAAAGACCACTGTACGATTCTCTATGGGACACTTCATATTACCTAGACACAACAAAGACCACTGTATGATTCTCAAGCCCAGAAAGTTTACATTTGGAGTTTGCAATTGATTGGATTTTTCATTGAAAATGTATCATCTAGAAAAAATTGTTTTTTGCCCTCGAATTGTACAATAACTTAATATATAAATACTACATTCCACTTTTCCAAAGCCTGCATTCATAAAACAACAGTGTCAATCAATGCCTGAAACATTTGGGAAATGCATCGACATAAAATATGTAATCGTCCTCCAGGAGATCAAAGAAAACTGCCATTCCCCTAATCAATGTTACTACATTGTCAATATCACACAATAGCCAGCTGTCTTTAAGAGTTTTATAAATAAATTACTGTATCCCCAATATAGTGTATTGGGTATAGGGTGTAATCAATTATTAACAAACAACCTGTACAGTAACGACCTCCCACATACACACATACCTGTTCATACGAAGATCCTGGAACCTGTACAGTTCACACCTCCCACATACACACATACAATTTCATACAAAGATCCTGGACCCTGTACAGTAACGACCTCCCACATACACACATACAATTTCATACAAAGATCCTGGACCCTGTACAGTTCAGACCTCCCACATACACACATACCTGTTCATACAAAGATCGTACAGATCTAGTCGGCAATAAAAGATACCCACTCACTGGTGACCATTGTGGATGTTGTGATTGAAATACTCCGTGACTATATTCACCATATTTCCTCATTCACCCTGTATACCATTTGGTATCCATACTGGAGCGCAGCAACCCACTTATCAACCCACCTACTTTGAACTGGCGTTGGCTCGATTTTAAGGTTTAATCTAAATAAATACGGCAATGACAAAAACTTTATTGCAAAAGATCATTATTACAATGTATTTATTGTATTCAATGTATATATTGTATTAATGAGTTATGTGATGTATTACGGATCAAATCTTGCAACTTACACATGCATTATTTTCCTTTTTTCTTCCTATTCTCCATCATTTTTTTAAGAACTTTTGAACCTGTTTTTAGTGACCACCTGTCATTTGATATTTCTTTAAGAACTTTTGAACCTGTTTTTAGTGACCACCTGTCATTTGTTATTTCTTTAAGAATTTTGAACCTGTTTTTAGTGACCACCTGTCATTTGATATTTTTTTAAGAACTTTTGAACCTGTTTTTGGTGACCACTTGTCATTGGATATTTTTACTGACCCCCATCAATAGCCATATAAGGCTGTATTTATATTTTTGCCATTACAATTATTTCACTATTTTTTAAAGTCTTTTTTATAAAATTGTCTTAATCTTAATTTCATTTATTTTTACCTAAACTTAGTCTGTAATCATTTCTATTGATATTATTTAAAATAGTGTATTTTACAAGGAGTACTTTCAAAATGTATAACTGCTAAATTATTTCATATTAGTATGTGTTGATTCACATCAAAGTCAACTTGAAAGTAACAAACAGCAGTATATGGGTAGTGAAACAAAGGCCCGTGAACGCATGAACAGACAATAGTAACCATGAAAGTTAAATATTGATCAAGTGCAAGTATTACCAAAAAACTTGGAAATAAAGGGCCTTTATTGTCATAACATACTACCAAATGGCACGAGGGTAAATAACCTTGACTAAAGAAGATGCACATAGAAATTTGACCTTCAAACATCTTGTGATGGGAACTACTCGTCTAGTTTATAAAAGCTACATCTTCGATTGCATGTCAAGGTGCCATTCTTGGAGATTAAACAGCTTTATATAGAAGGTAAGCACTATAGAAAGGATTTTGCTTCAATGACAAACTCAGCCAAACGCTTCCTCAATGATAAAAGTAAAAGCCTTAATGTTACTCAATTAGCTAGCTTCAACAAAGCCATCTGACAGCTGCGAGCATCACTACATTTTTTAGTACACAGATGCCCACTACCACCGCATTTTGTACCTACAGGAATGGCTTAAAGGCTGGGCCAGTTATTCATACACAAGGGTATAAACAAATGGGGATTAAATTTTGCGATGGTCAAGTACATAATGAAGTGAGTTGGTCTGGGAAAGATTTAATCTAGATCAGCTCACTTTCCCATTAACATCCCATAAACATGACCATACCTACAGTCAGATGCACTGTACTGTAAAATACTAGAAAAGTGTGAATATATTTAATACCAATGGAAGTCAACGCAAATGGCTGATAGTGGCATCATATTAATTTTTTATTTTTTTTATTGATTTTTGAATTTTTATTTTGAGAGAACTGTAGTAGAAATGGAGAATACCGCCCGGTAATATTAGAACCAAGCTGTTGTGATGGACCACGACCTGTTTGACCTTTAACAACCCAGTAAGTTTTTTTCTTACCAATCAGCTGTTGCATGGGTAGCTGATTGTAGCTAGCTAGGCCATGCAAAAATTATACCCATAAACAATCGACACTAATCAACCTGAGAGGATGAAATCATTGATTTTCTCCCCCAATAGTAGGCCCCATCTCCTCTATACCTGTACACACCCTGTGGTTTCTCCCCCAATTGTAGGCCCTATCTCCTCTATACCTGTACACACACTGTGGTTTCTCCCCCAATAGAAGGCCCTATCTCCTCTATTCCTGTACACACCCTGTGGTTTCTCCCCGTATAGGAGGCCCTATCTCCTCTATACCTGTACACACACTGTGGTTTCTCCCCCAATAGAAGGCCCTATCTCCTCTATTCCTGTACACACCCTGTGGTTTCTCCCCCAATAGTAGGCCCTATCTCCTCTATATCTGTCCACACCCTGTGGTTTCTCCCCCAATAGTATGCCCTATCTCCTCTATATCTGTACACACCCTGTGGTTTCTCCCCCAATAGTAGCCCCAGCTCCTCTATACCTGTACACACCCTGTGGTTTCTCCCCCAATAGAAGGCCCTATCTCCTCTATTCCTGTACACACCCTGTGGTTTCTCCCCCAATAGTATGCCCTATCTCCTCTATATCTGTACACACCCTGTGGTTTCTCCCCCAATAGAAGGCCCTATCTCCTCTATACCTGTACACACCCTGTGGTTTCTCCCCGAATAGAAGGCCCTATCTCCTCTATACCTGTACCCACCCTGTGGTTTCTCCCCCAATAGTATGCCCTATCTCCTCTATATCTGTACACACCCTGTGGTTTCTCCCCCAATTGTAGGCCCTATCTCCTCTATACCTGTACACACACTGTGGTTTCTCCCCCAATAGGAGGCCCTATCTCCTCTATACCTGTACACACCCTGTGGTTTCTCCCCGTATAGAAGGCCCTATCTCCTCTATACCTGTACACACCCTGTGGTTTCTCCCCCAATAGTAGCCCCATCTCCTCTATACCTGTACACACCCTGGGGTTTCTCCCCGTATAGA